TTCTTATAGAGTTAAATTTCTCGAGTCCAAAATTTTGCGAATTTTTTGCTCCTGTTGCCCGGTTCCTGCTTTCTAGACAGTCCCGGTGGTCAACACATGTTCGACACCCCTGGCGTACCGAGAGCCTATCGTCCGCTTTCCCTTTTTTTATGTACGGACTTCTCCCTATCCCTTTCTTCCACCAATTGCACGTGAGGAAATATTCAACGGTTATTCCAACGTCAGGGGCAAGTCACTCCTTCCGCAAATCTCAAACTTCAGTCAACTCCGAACAATTCACGGATTATCCTCGCTCTCAAAATCAAACCTTTAAATAGACCTAGCCAAGTCTTGTATTCAATTGACTTTAAGTCAAGTCATAATTAGAATTCTCAATTTAAGTTTCAAGTACTTTTAAGACTAGTGTAATTTAAAGTGTATTTTATCAAATTTACGTGCAATTATAGTGATAGTTCAAGTGACTCAAAACATTCGTATTCATTTAAAAACAGTACAAACATTTAAAACCCTATTCACAATTCATAACGCACCAAGTGAAAGTACGGTAGCTTTGTTGTTTCAGTTTCGTCCATATTTTAATAAAAATTATCGTGAAGACGAGATATCTATTGTAAAATTATCAAATGGTAAATATTGAATATAAACTATTTTATATGGAAAATCAATACCATTTGATCTTTCCATACAACTCATTCTACCGAATTCTCGAGAAAACTTCTATAGAATTTTCTGGATATTGATTTTTTGTCACGCAGTCTGTGAAACATTGTTGGACGCTTCGCGTTCGTGAATAACCGCTCGCGGACTAAATGACAAAAAATAGTGTTTAACACGCGGCCGTGAAGAACTTTTCTGCCTCATATGACTACAGAACTCGCCTTCGGCTCGTCTCGTAACCTCATATTCGCCAGAAAATTTCCTTATCGCTTAGTATCGAAATCTACTATTCAAAGTCAATGTTTTCGTTCGGGAACAAAAAAAAAAGTCAATGATTAAGCTTGAAGAAAGATAACTTCAGGTTGTAAAATGTCACCCAAGGACCGTCTTAAAGACCATTCCATCTTTAACTAAAATGATGGGTAAGTATATTCTGTGGCGAGGCATATGTATTTATTTATTATTATTTTTACCTACATTTTTTCCCAACACACATAGCCCCCTAAAACGTAAATCCCGCCGCCGTTGGGTATCTTTTCCCCAGATATTCCCCTCGTTGCCCCTCTACCATCGCCCCTGGATTCAACGACGAACAGCCGCCGAAGGAAGTTAGCAGTTCCGAACCACCGGGAGTGGATGCAGGAGCCGTCGCCCCCGAGGAACGCCCATGGAGAAGCTACGATAATCCACCGCATTCGAATTCACCACCGATACGGCTCTGGATTGTGATCGTGGGCACAATCTCAACACCTTGATTGGCCCCTATTCCCCTCGGAGTTGACCCGAAAGAACTCGAGATCCTGCGAATTCCCCCGAATTACGAAGGAGAAGAAGAAGAGAAGAGAAAGGAATCACTCGTGCGACAGCTGCCCCATAAATTGCCATGTGCCCCCCCCTGAAGTAATAAAGAGAAAATCGTGTAGAGTAGCCCCTGAAGTTAGTTCGGTGAGCAGACAAGAAGACTTGGATTAATTGGAGTCCATCTCAGCTCTCGCTTTGGAGCCCCTGGAGTCAGACGGAGGAACGAAGGCCCTGAGGATTATTTTTGAGGACGTTTCTGGAGGACTTTTCTGCGAAGCCCTTTTTGGTCAACGTGAGTACGAGTTGTTTCCCTCATTTTCCCCTTGCCCCCGAGTATTATCCCATTCTATTCCCCCAACGGTGCGCCACACTTGGTCATTTTTCCCCCAGTAAATTCAATTATTATATTTTCATTTCGTTATTATTTTCCCCTCGACATACCTAGAATCTCCCCCTTTGTTATCAATTAGAATCTCCCTTTAGACGTGTACAAAAGCTGCCTGGCCACCCCGACTCCCTAGATCTCATTAAAGGCCATATTTGCGTGTTTTGACGGTCAGACTTGTATTTAGAGAAAATATAGGCAATTATTCTCAAATTATCCCTTATTTGTCCCTTTTCTTGATTCGCCCTAATCCTCTTTTCAGGAATTATTTTAATAAAATCATGAAAACGGTCACAATTCCGAATGAATTTTTATGAATAATATCTATGAAAAACTTTGATAAATATGAACATTTTTATACATATTTCCCGCTCATTTATTTAGGGACTCGACAGGATGACACATACTTGATCTTTCACGGCACTGTGGTATATGAATTTGCATTCAACTCTGTCAACTGGCATATGGTCTCCTGTCGTAGTGATGATGGATGGATGTTAGTAAAAATCACTTTTCATTTTTTTCAGAGCTTTCATTTTCTTCTATTTGAATTAGACTCTCGAGTCAATTTAATCATTTTTAATATTCTGAGGATTTAGACCATAAAAAACTGAATTTCATTTGGCCGAGCCATAGCTATGAGTTATTGAAAGCGTTCGACATTTTCTCACTCTGTCCTTGTTAACGAATTTTGAAATTTACATATGCATTTGAAATTTATATAGCATAATGGCAGGCAAGGACAGGTGGGCTTGGCATAGGAGCATGGGTGATGAAATCACTCCTATTTCCCTGCAGGAAAGATTCGCCATTTTGATGAATGAGTACAACGTGAGTACACTTTCCTCATATTACAAAGATTAAAGCTGTTTCTCTGTTAGAGTAATTTTTTCAGTAGCAAAGTTGACTTAGCCCTCAGTTGAAATTTCGTAGCTTCTAATTCGCTCTACAAAAAAGATTATAACAACAAATTTCCATCTGCCTTAGATGCCAAGATATTCATTGAAAACTGACCAATAGCCAAAATCGATTTAAACACTTTTACCCCTTTGTTTTCATCGCGTTGCAAATGACAATTATTTTATGTTTGTAGAGACGCAGTTTCATGGCTCGAGAGCCTGGGATAACATCCATCTGGCAGCACTACGAGGCCCTGAAAGCCTGTCAGGAAATTGTGGAGGAGCGCGGAATACTCCCGGAAAATTTCTGGAACTAAGGCATACGAAACGATTGGAAACGATTGATTCGATTTTTTTCATTCTCTTTTTCTCCTTTTTTGAGCTTCAGATTATGGATTGTTTTTTCGAGAGATTTTCAAAAATCAATAAAGAAAATATTGATTAAGAATATTTCTGTTGCCACGGCGGGCCCAAAGTGCGTCTTGCTGACTTTATTCTAACCATGGGAGGTAAAATAAAGGACCCACACTCACGTGCTTTACCATACTCAGTTTCGGCTCGGACGTTAATTCCGCACGTGAACACGACTAATTTTTCTCCCTTTATTGTGATCATTTTCAAAACGATAAATAATTAATGTAATTTGAATAGCATAATGTGAAGAGCCACTGAAATAAATATTGTTGAATAATGGTTCATTTAATTAATTTTCGTCTCATCACAATCTTTACAATCATCAACATGGGGAGGGTAATAATTACAAAAGTCAAACAGGACGGATGAATGCTGAGATCAGAGGGTTCATAACAGGTTATATGGATAAAAACGTAGAATTATTCGAGGTGCATGATTTTTCAGAAATAAACACATCGGATGGTGAATGACGACATCGAAAGAGCATAAGGACAAGTCCGCAGGAATCACCAAATGGGTTCGCTCAAATGCAATTCGTTCGTTCGCCGGAAAACTGAACGAACAAATACAAACTCGTTGTCGTACACGTGCAGCTGACATTTTACAAACATAATCCCGTTGCCGTCAATGAAGGACATCATTGTGTTTGGCAAAAAAGAGTCGCCATCTTTCCAAACAATGACATGGAACAAAAATATCTTCGTTGCCGTTATGAAAACCGATTGTGTTTGTTGATTTTTGTTGCGTATACGACGAATATTGGTGCAACAAAACCGCTATTAATCACTTCCCTAGAAAAATGCTGGTTGATTTGAATTCGCCCGCGCTTAGTAGGCCGCCGATAAGATCCGCCTGATGTCCAATGTCTATAAAGGTGGTCACTGGTCATGAAAGTTGGACCAATTCAAAAAATATAAGCGCAGGACGCCGGAATATGAATACCACTCAAGGACGCTGTTCAGTTTAACTTCCGAAAAATCATAAAAAACCGAAAAATATTCCAGCGATCTGCCTCCAAGGATCTAATTGTTTGAGGCCAGATCCGGTTTGTGTGCAATATTTGAGTGATGGGCAAAAATAACTTTACGGTATTACAACGAAAGTCGATAAATCACTGCACGTGCGTTGGTCAAAATTCGTCATTTCAATCACGATTTTCGTCAATATTCACATGAGTCAATGATTATTGACATAGTCAAGAAAATACCGCGATCCAGAGAAGTTAATTACGCAGTTCAAAGGAATTAGTAATATCGAAAACAAAGATTTCACAGAACATTATCAAAACAAGTAATCTCTGTAATTGCAGATGTGCAACTTAGAGTGATTAAAGAGCCGCACAGTAGCAGGTGTCAATAATCCTAGGTACATGCAAGCTAAGCTAGTGTATGCATACGTGTGTGTGAGGAAAATTCGGTGAAAAACCGAACAATAATTAAACGATTAAACGAACTTACCTAAGTGAAGTTCTATCGTAATTGTATGAAGCGCCTCCTCCGAAAGATCACCAAGTGTAGTACCCCCCCAAAGTGCCGATGGCGCCACAAGGTTAACAGTAAAGTTATAAAAAATTTCCAGTGTGCACGGTTTCCTGCTCTACATTCCGCGGTCCGGATTTCGTCATTTTTTCCAAAGTTATTTGCCGTGAATAATCTATCGGGTTTCGCGGGTTTAGCGACAGGTTATATGTAAGGGTGGGGGTGATCTTTCGGAGGAGGCGCTTCATACAATTACGATAGAACTTCACTTAGGTAAGTTCGTTTAATCGTTTAAGTGTATTTCGCGCCTCCTCCTCAGATCACCAAGTGTAGATGTTTAAAGACTCACGGCAATTCATCTGTTGAACTGTGCTACATGGGTATTTTTATTATTATTATTATTATTATTATTATTATTATTATTTGAAGAGGAAAAAGCGAACAATGGAAGAAGAAAATGTTATCTTGATAATGTTTATCTTCTCAAAATCGAACTTGCAAATGTTTTCGGATCCTCTTGAATGGGACGATTGTAGAACCTGGCAAAGGTTTCTGATGATGGAGTCCAGCCGGCGGTTTTCAGAATCATATCGATGTTTACACCGCTGTCTTTGGCCGCTGAGGTGGACGCGTGTCGTGTGCTGTACGCCGAGAAAGTTGCCGTGTCCACTCCACTTTTGCTGAGTACGTCTTTAATCCAATGGCTCAGCGTCTGGCTTGTTATTGCATTGTGGGGCTTTTTTCCCGAAATAAAGAGTGCCTTCTCAGTTCCGCGCAGTGGTCGAGTGCGCTCCAAGTAAGACTGCAGTGTTGATGCAACGCAAATGGCTGAATTTTCCGGGAAGAAAGGAAGAATCAAGTTTGGTTGAGGCCGCTTGGGGCCTGACGTTTTTAGTATTGCTGGAACTTTAATCTCTATGCGGTCTGTTTTGTGGATAATATTGTCAATTAAGATTGAGGTCAGGGTCTGCATTCGATGAGCTGTTGTCAGCGCCATCAAGACTGCCAATTTTTCGGATAACCTCTTTAAACTGATAGTGTCGTTTGGAATCCATCCTGCTATGTGATCTAGGACCAACTTGGGATCCCAAGTTGAACTGTATTTAGGACGTGTCGGATGTAGGGCTACCGTACCTCGACAAAATCGTTTAACTGATTCGTCTTTTCCCACGTGTGGGCCCAGAAGTAGGGCCACAGCCGATCTCATGCTGTTGATGGTTCCAGAAGACGCTCCGGCATTGAGTTCTTCGGTGAGAAATTGAAGAACGTCGGGAATTACTGCTGAAAAAACGGGAGTCTCACTGCGTTGACAAAAATTCCACCATTTTTTAAGGGCAGAGTTATATTGTCGTAACGTTGAATCGCGAAGTGATGCAATGCTGATTCTGATTGTTTCCGGTGATAAATTTTTTAGTGAAAATGCTGTCTCGATAAGATTCCTCCCACCAGGGAAAGTTGGGCCCACAACTGATGAGGTTCCCTGTTGGCAGAGTATAAAAGGTTAATTTTTGGTTTGAACACCACCGGTTTAGATTCAAACATCTTCCTACACGAAGGGAACCACGCTTGTGACGGCCAGTGTGGTACCACCAAGATTCCCCGAGCATTATCACTAATTATCTTTTTTATGACCTTGGGAATTAGAGGGAAAGGGGGAAAAGCATAGAAGAATTCTTCACCCCAGTCAATAGTAAAGGCATCTATGGCCTGAGCTTCTGGGTCTGGCTTCCATGACACGTAACGCGGACATTTGTAGTTGACACGACTTGCGAATAAGTCAATGTCTGGCTTGCCGAAAACTGAGCAGAGTTCATTGAACGCTTCTCCAGAGAGACTGTATTCAGACTCTGGTTCTTTTCGTCTAGACTCATAGTCCGCTATTACATTTTCCTCGGAGCGGATGTAGGAAGCAAAAATCCAGATGTTGCGACGCTCACACCACTCCCAGATATCTTTCGAGATTCTGCTTAGATTTTCATATTGGACCCCGCCCATGCGATTGATGTATGAAATTGCTGTTGTGTTATCAATACGTAGCAATAAATCGCAGTTCTTGAGATCTTTCGCGAAGCATTTCAAGCCATAGAACGCGGCTTTCAACTCTAGGTAGTTTATGTGATAATCTCGTTCTTCTTCTCGCCAAAAACCATGGGTTTTTTCCTGTTTCCAACAGGCGCCCCAGCCGGACAGGGATGCATCAGAGAAAATTTCCATTACGAATTTTGGGCTGGAGATCTGATTGAAAATGTTAAAAATATTATTTTTCCACCAGGTTAAGTCGTCGTTAACTCTAGGTGTCAGTTTCATGAATGATTCGTAGTTATCTCCGTGTTCTTGGAGGGCAAGAAATTTTTCTCGTTCGAGACATTTGATGTGGGCTGGGCCATACTTTGCTGCTAGGCAACAAGAGCTGAGCGTTCCTACTAGAGATGCAAATTCACGAATTTTATAATTTGAATGAATTTTAAATTTTTGGAGCAAATTAAAAATTTTTTCTCTTTTGTCTTCTGGCAATTCCAGTTTCATTTCATTTGAATTCAAGATGAAACCGAGAAATTTTCGCTTATGTGCTGGTTGAAGTTCGCTCTTTTCTTCATTGATAATGAAGCCTAATTCTTGGAGGAATTTTCGTGATTTGTTGGTGTTTTCTGAGCACTCGTTTTTAGTGTGCCCGAATAGAAGGATGTCGTCAAGATAAATAACTGATGTGAACCCTAGTTCTCGAAGTGACGTCATTATCGGTTTCATCAGTTTGGTGAAGACGTATGGGGCCGTGTTTAATCCGAAGGGAAGACAATTAAATTCGAAAAGTTCTCCGTTGAAAGAAAATCTTAAGAATTTTTTGAAAGAATCCGCGATTGGAACTAAATAGTATGCATCTTTCAGGTCGAGAGTCGTCATGAAACAATTTGGTTCAGTCAGATCTCGGGCTGTGCGGATATCTTCCAATTTGAAATGTTCTGTACTGATAAACTTATTAAGTTTTTTAAGGTTCAAAATGAACCGAGAAGTACCATTAGGTTTGGGAATAAGGAAAATATCGGATAAAAACTGGCCTTCACAATTTTCGCATCTCTGAATAGCTCCTTTTTTGAGAAGCTCATTTATCTGGTCTTTCATTTGAGAAAACTCTTTTTTCGACCAGTGTGGTTCCCTTGGAGTTGTTAATTGGATTGGTGATGTGGTAAAAGGAATAACGTAACCGTTAATCCAATTGAGGACAGTTTTATCTGAGATATATTTTTCCCATATTGGAACGAAGAATTTTAGGCGTCCAGATGGGATACTTACGCTAGGTTCTATCGGTGACTCCTTCTCGAGTGGTGACTCGATCTCGATTGAGTCCTGGAATGGCTGGCTTTCTTGTAGCTGGAGTTCACTACTGGCGTGAACGGCTTGCGATGCCCCCCGGCCGTTGCCCGTTTGGTCTTTTGGTACGAGGGGCTCTTCCAGTTTTTTGACGTCTTGGAATTTTTCGTTTGCATTGTTTTTCCCTTGGGTTTTAGCAGCTGAGATGACTTATCGAGTGCGTCTGCTCCTTTCAGCGTGTCAGCCAGCTTGTCACCGAATAAGAATTGTCCGGCTTCAGAGGCGATGAGAGTTTCCTTCATGTCTGGATTCAAGAGAGGCAGGATGATGGTGCGCCTCGCCAGGGTCTCGTCCCGCTGGACGTCCACCAACATTCGAGCAACATCGCTCAGAGTTGTTATCATCTCCAGGTCTGGGTCCCCTTCTTTAGTTAAGAGTTTTTCTAAGGCTGGACCCAGGGGTGCTAAGCAAACCGCAATCTTTTCCTGTTTTTCAGCCATGCGTTTATCTCTATTTTTAACAGGATCGGTGAGGGATTTCAAAATCTCTGGATTGACAGCTGCAGGTTCGAGATGGACTCAATTTTGTGGGATGAGATATTTATCGAATAAATCTTTCAGTATTTCTTTGTTTAACCCTTTTTTCAGGATTTCATCCCAACGAGTCACGATATCTGGATGAATGGACGGTCCCCGTTTCTTTTCCAGCTCGATACGTTCGCCCATAGCTTCAAGCACTGCCGCCTTGAGCACCGGATCCCCTGATGTTATTTTTCCTGTTGTGTCTGTTGTTTCCCCCCCCCCCTTTTTTTGGATCAGAAGAGGATTGAACGCTCTTCTGTGTTTGATCATCTGTAGGGGGAAGTGATGGGTTCTCCTGATGATTTTTTGGTGTCTCGTTCGAGCGATTGCGATTCTCGTCGCTAAGTGAACGACGACGGCTGTAGTGATGTCGATAATGTAGGTTACATGGGGATCGACCATCATAGGATCTCGATCGACTGTGTGGACGTCGTGACCTGCTACGAGATCTTGTGTGAGTAGAGTGATGATCTGAGCTTCCTGATGATGAGGATGATGATGAGCTGGAGTGAGATCTGGAGTCTGAAACAGTATTGAGGGCGAAAAAATCGATGAGTCCCCGTTGAAACAGGAGGGGAAAAATTCTAGTATTCAACTAGACGTTTTCATTTCAGTCGGATTGTAGTTCTTGANCCTGATGATTTTTTGGTGTCTCGTTCGAGCGATTGCGATTCTCGTCGCTAAGTGAACGACGACGGCTGTAGTGATGTCGATAATGTAGGTTACATGGGGATCGACTGTCATAGGATCTCGATCGACGGTGTGGACGTCGTGACCTGCTACGAGATCTTGTGTGAGTAGAGTGATGATCTGAGCTTCCTGATGATGAGGATGATGATGAGCTGGAGCGAGATCTGGAGCCTGAAACAGTATTGAGGGCGAAAAAATCGATGAGTCCCCGTTGAAACAGGAGGGGAAAAATTCTAGTATTCAACTAGACGTTTTCATTGCAGTCGGATTGTAGTTCTTGCCTACTCCGATTTTTTGAGATCTCCTCAAGTTCATCGAACTTGGAGGGTCGCGTCGTCCAGAGCGCGTGTGAACTTGTCACGATCTCCCGTTGATGAAACTAGTGTGAAAAAACATTGTTTTTTGGCGGAACTTGTCCGAAATTGGGGAGCTTGTCCACCACACACTAGTTCTCGGTGTAATAACCATTCCAGTCGTCATTCAGGCGATGATTTTTTGGTTAATTACGCTCTCTAAATCGTCTCGCTACGTGATGTAACTTTTTCTGAAACAGAGTGAGGTTATACTTACGCTGATAGAGACGGCGACGCAGTTCGTCTCTCTCTTCTCTCAAACGTTTTAATTCTCGATCTCTACTTCTTTTACGGTCATCGTTTGACCTTTTTCTTTTGTGACCCATATTTAATTATCAATTAATCTGTTAAAATTTAATTGCACAGTTCAGAGCCTCGTGGCGTTTCTTGGGCACAAGGAAAAGGAATGACGAAATCCGGACCGCGGAATGTGGAGCAGGAAACGGTCCACACTGGAAAATTTTTATAACTTTACTGTCAACCTTGTGGCGCCATCGGCACTTTGGGAGGGTACTACACTTGGTGATCTGAGGAGGAGGCGCGAAATACAATTCATGATTTTTGCCCGCCTTACAGATATCCTTACCTTTAATTTAACGAACCATACGTTAGTGAGTTACGATATTCGCGAATGGTTAACATGTACTCTCAAGTGTTTCGCACAATTGCAAATAGTCAAAAACTTTTCTGTATTGGAAAACGGTGGCTTGATCCAAACGTGAATCAAGTTGAGAATCCTAACAGAATCTAGTGAAATTGCACTCAAATCAAGTTGACTGTAAACTGAATCAGGTTACCACCTTGTTTGGATTCCGTCCTTTTGTGGGCAGTTTTTCCCCGCACGGCGTACGGCAGCATGATTGTCCAATCTAGCCGTCTCATCTATCACGGCTAATCTCGACATTTCATTTCTGTGCCCATCTCGACGTCATCAATCACAATGTCATATCCACTCACCTGTTCTTGGACAACCTGTCGATTTGTGGCATTTTCGCAATCAATCGTTATGAACACATATTATGTGTATTCGTAATGTATTCGTTTTCTATTAGTAGTGGAATTTAGTAGCCGTCTTTGTTTTTTTCAACTCCTAGCATCTTTACATCTTGTTATTCGACTGTTGGTTCATTGATCAATTATTTCGGCACTGTAAATAGAGTTTGGCATGCTGATTTTAATATTTAACATCTCTAGTTGGTACTTGACTCGACAGTTTTACGTACACCCGGCTGAGAAATGTAAATACATTGACTGCAAATAAACGTTACTGACCTGGATGTAAGCGTGGTGTTTAAACTGTTGGTTTCTTCGCCTGTGAACATTTATCGATTGTTTTTCCCGAATCCTTGGCTCAATTGGCGAAATATTCTTTTTTAATCTCGACGTAACACGCATCCAAGATAGCGAAAAAGACTTGAAATTTGTGGATTCTCCACTGAAATGAATATTATTTATGTTGTGACAATGTATAAAATATGGTCCTCAGAACCTGCGAAATGTTTTGAAAAAAAATAACTAACCCTTTTTATATCTTTCAACTCCCCAAGAAGATTGAAATTTAGCACTCGCGTATCCTCGATCAGGCGAAAATTAATCTCGAAAAGAAACAAAAATCATATCAAATACTTCCCCGAGAACTCCTTGACTCCGGAGACACGGGCGCCATGGACACCCTTACCACTTTGTTGTCAGGCGTTCTTGTGCTATTCCAAAAATTAACAACTCTATGGGATAAGAAATATATTAAAACTACCAAATAATAATGGAAGAAATACGTGAGAAATGATACTGCGTATATTCAAGGTTTTTGGCAGTAGCACAGTAACTGAATCCTAAAAAATAAGCCGAAAGACTCACAAAAGAATTTAGTCTATACAAACGGTTGTCCACAAACTGACTTGAACTGGGTCGACTCGAAAATAACAAAAAATAAGGCCCGGTCGCTCGCTTCGCTCGCTCCCTCGTTGGGGTGTGACCGGAAGGGATTGGTGGAATTGAGTGTGACCCATTATGAGTCGAACCGATAACTTGCCGACCGATTCCTCTTTTTCTGTTCATTGGAAAAACAAGCAGAGGACCGAGCCTGTCCGACAGAAGGCATGTGACCGTTACTTTACGCGTTATTAGTCTTGACATTCCTTCATTTCTGCCAATTCCATTGGTAATATGCTTCCGAATGGATTCATTGCAATTCTATTTCAAAAAACTTCGATTGCAAAAGAAAAAGACCATTCTCATAATAACCATCCTTCTAAGTGGAAAGGTGTAAAAATGACGTTTTTACATCTTTTGATTTTTTTTTCTTTATTCTATTCCATCAATTTTCAGTGTTTTCATTTTTTTGAATTTCAGGAATTTCAAATGAAAAAGAAATTGAAAAAATTCCGGAAGTGGCATTTTCAAAATAACTAAATAACTGCTGAGAGGATTTCGCTTTGATTTCAGTCATAATTACTCGATACAAAGACGCATCGATTTGATGTAGAAAAATTCAAATCGCATCATTACTCTAGAAGAAATCGTGGAATGTGTGAAAAAAACATTATTTTTTACGTTTTGCCATATGTTTTTTACGAGTAACTGAAGATCTGCTGAGGCGATCGTCTTTACAAACTAATCAGTTCTAACAAGGAACCCTAGGTAGGTGTTCGCCTCTGAGTTTGATGAAACTTATATATGTGATAGAGGAGTCAAATCAAAGGGACATGGATTTTTCTTATCGGCTAATACGTGGTTATTGGGGCAAATCTGTCCTCTGAAGTAGGCCACTTCTCAGGTTATTTTGTCGTTTACATATATAAAGAGACAAATCTTTTGCCATGTAAAAGAACGCTTATGATGAATGATGAATATGTGAATTAAAATCATCCCCAGGGGTTGAAATTTAGGAGGTGAACTACCCCCGCGAAAAATTATTTTTCCAATTAAAAAAAAAATTATTGCTCGGAATTTCATCGAACCAATTCAATTCGAAAGAGCATTCAAAAAGACAGACTACCTTTTCTTGTAAGTGTCCTATCTTTCAATTTCCGCGGTGTAAATCGAAGATTGTGTGGGATAAAAGGATTAACAGTCAAATTCGTACCCGGTGTGATGAGTGTGGGGGGTAAGTAACCTCCTGACAAGTTAGTTTTCGATAAAACAAAAAAACACGTGTGACGAATCTCTAATAATTTAAATTCAACTTTTTAATCACCTTTAACCCATAAATAAACAAAGACGCCCTAATTGCCTTAGGCGCCAGCCTATTTTAATTATTGGGAAAAAATAGACAAAATACCCCATAAACTGCCCAATTATGCCCGTGCTCTTTATCACAAGGGGAAGGGGGGACGTTACCCCCTCTTCGAATTCTGAGGTTCTCACCAAATGAAACGCAAAACAACAAGGATAATGCTCCAAAGAAATAATTATATTCAAGAAAATAGTAAAACGAAATTATATACAAAAGAAAACGATCATAAATGATTCGATATAAAGGAAAAATGAATGTGAATGCTTCAATTCAAGCGAATGATAAATCATATAGAAAATTAGCCAGAAACAATATAAATCAGTAATTAAACTTTCCAAAAAACATAAAAGAAGGGGGAAAATTCCCCTTACTGAATTTGAGACATAGGAAACCGAGATTTGAACCGATAATATGGGCACTTAGCTCACTCAGCTCGTCCAGTGGATCCAGGGTCTCGTCAGGTCGTCCAGGTGGCTTCCTTCTGTTAATCGTCTCCCACGATGCACAACAATTAACTCAAACTATAGATTGACTCTACCCAATTGTTACTATAAATTCTCTCAATCTGAACTCTATTACTATGAATTCTATTAACGTAAATTCTGTGACTATAAATGCTGTTACTTTAAATTCTGTTACTCCCACCCAATAGAAATCTATTATCCTGTTAACTATGACATGGGTCCATCCAGA